AATATAATACAATATAATGTAATATAATGTAATATAATATAATATAATATAATATAATATAATATAATATAATATAATATAATATGTATGTATGTATGTATGTATGTATGTATGTATGTATGTATGTATGTATATACATATATCCTTAAAAGGTCGGGTTTCCGGCCGCAGGTAGGGGCTTGGATTCTTTGAGATCCTCGCCCCAACGGCCGGATGAGGCCCTGAGCTCCACAAACCCCGACCCCTGCCTGGACCCCCGAAAACACGAGGCTCCAACAACAACTTGAGGGTTTTAGGGTTTAGGGTTTAGGGTAAGGTCAAGCTCCAAAGCTCCAAACTCTGCAATGCGGGCTCGTCCTGGCTCAGCAGGAGGAAAAAAAGGTCAAGACTTTAGGGCCAAACTAACAACCCCGAATAAACCCTAAGCACTAGGCGCGGTTTCAAAACTCAAAACCCCCCCCTCGGAACCTTGAGAAGCTCCCAGCCCCCGGTGTTCCTGAGGCGGGCTCCGCGATGCGCTTCCCACGTCGTAACTGCGGGAGCTGCGAGCTGGAAGGGCGGGTTTACGCCTTGGGAGGCCGGGCTACTAGTGTTGAGGGGTAGTGAAGTTAATAAGACTCATAAGGTGTATGGGGCTCATAAGGCTCACAGATGCTCACAGAGTTTGCAAGGGGTTTAGGGTTTACGGAATCTTGGCTTTTTTGTATCTGTATCAGCATGGCAAATATACGTTTAGATGGGGCTATCGCACCAATGCTGGAAGCCAGATATGTTCTACAGTCCACATGGTGCTGAGAAACAATGCTACTACATACTACTTGATATATCAGTGCTGATGATACCAGTGATTCTGCTACTACTCCCGCTCCTACTCCTACTCCCTACTCCTACTCCTATTCCTAACTACTCCTCCTACTACTACTACTACTACTACTACTAATACTACTACTACTACTACTACTACTACTACTACTACTACTACTACTAGTACTACTAGTACTACTACTTACTACTTCTCCTACTACTACTACTACTACTACTACCACTACTACTACTTCTACTACTCCTACTACTACTACTACTACTACTACTACTACTACAACTACACTCCTACTCCTACTCCTACTCCTTCTCCTTCTCCTTCTCCTTCTCCTTCTCCTTCTCCTACTCCTACTCCTACTCCTACTCCTACTCCTACTCCTCCTACTACTACCACTACGACTACGACGACTACTACTACTACTACTACTCCTACTCCTACTCTGCTCTTACTCCTTCTACTACTACTGCTGCTGTCACTACGACGACGACTACTACTACTCAGGCTAAGACTACTGCGACGAAAATTAAAAATCAAGAATGCCAATGCTCACGGCATCCTGGAATCCTGGAATGTCCAGGCTTCGACGGAACTCGTATCCTGAACTCGGTCGAGGCCCTTTCCGTTGGGGGTTTGAGGAATTGGACTTGTGGTTCCGGGGGGCTTTACCGCAGGGTTTAAGTGGTTTTTGGGGTTACGAGTTAAGGGTGGGCTTGGGTCTGAGTGTGTAGGTCGAGCTCTTCCCCAACTGGGCGTGGAAGTGAAAAAAACAGTCACCCTAACTCTAAGACTGAGCCTGAATCCGATTCATCTGCAAGAGCCCACGACTAAAGGCCGAAACCCCACAAACCCTACCTTAACCTACCATCGCCTACTTTTTTGTAGGCTCTTCTTATAATACCGAATCTCCTCTCGAGGACGTCTTGACCACTTTCGAATGCTAGGGCCCCAAAGTATCCCTCATCGAGGCTTTACTGTTAGGGCTCCGTATTAAAAATACTGTAAAGGAGCCCAAAACCCTGTTCGAATTATTAACGCCCTTACATTAAGTCTTATTTCCAGGCATGGTTTGTGCCAGCTCAAAAGGGCTCAGGGTAATATGGAGATGTGTTGTATGTGTGTATTTATTTATGTGTTTATTTGTTTATTGACATACATACTTATGTATATATACACGGGTATATGTGTGTGTATATTCTTCTATGTGTAAAATATAGAGGTATGTTGGCCCTCCACAGCACCGTTCCTTGATGGGCTTCACTACCCCAAACCCTAGACCCCACACCCTAAAATGAAGTTGCCCCTTAAGACAACCTCGCCTGTGAGCATAGTTCTCGGCCATGCGAGAGGGAAAAACCTAAAACCTACACCATAATGGTACGGGTTCAGCGAGTGGAAAAGGGCCGTGCAAAAAAAAACAAAAAAAAAAGAAAAAACTATACCATATACCCTACAAGCCAAGCTACATGAACATCCCACAAGCCGGCTCAACGAGGCTTATGACAATCGCCTGAAGAGCTGGATGCAGATGGCTGCTTGGCGGCTCTTTTGGGATTTACCGGTTAGGCGCTGGGGTAGAGGATACAATATAGCAGCCGTAATCAATCACTACTAGTGTTATTCCATAGGGTTGTTCATTATAGTTCTAGTATAAAGGAGCCCAAAACCCTATTCTAAAATTATTAAGGCCCCTACATCAGATGGAGATAGGGGGCCTGTTGAGAATAGATGACCTTCCCTCGTGTCTTCCTTGTCTGCCCAGGAGCCCTTGCCGACGCCTCGCTCATCAGCCATGGCCACCACTAGCGGCGGCGAGGCGCTTAGTTGCTAGACGTCTCTTGGGCTCTCTAAAGTTATAGGGCCCTAGAGCCGTAAACTCTGAACTTGCAGGGTTATAGGAGTCTAGAGTTTAGGGTCCGGGCGAAGTGGAAAGCCTGTTGCAACAGGCTCAGGGTTTACCGGTTGTCTTCTTAAAAGAGCACCAAGGCAAAGTCTGGGTGCTGGGTGGCACCTCCGGAACCAGGCAGGGCCGAAACGGAGGGACTCCGTTTCTTTACGACAAGATGCTGTTCGGAAGATGCGCACCGCCACCATTTATGCGAAACGCTGTGGCATCGCTGGTCAACCATTTGGTGCCATACAAAGCAAAGGACTTCAGTCAGCTGTTGTGGAATCGAAGGGAAATGCAAGCTGTGTGAGGCCTCAGGCGTTTTGTGGTGTTTTGGGGTTTGGGAAAGCGTGTTTCATGTAGAACCCGGAATTTTGAAGGAAAAGTGGCGAGCAGTTCTGGTGATGACAAACACCTGTAGTAGCAACACGCTTCGCATCCAAAAGCGAACGGTGTTCATGTTGCGGAATTTAGTTTAAGCTACCAGCAAGCGGATCTACAGTAAATAGTACACCATACGGTTTCC